AGTTAACGATGATTATCACGCAGGCAGTGCAAGAGATATAAAAACAAAATGGTAACTGCCTCCTTAACATAAACTGACATCAAAAAGAGGAGAGGGGATAGGACTTTATTGGCATAAATGGAAGAGAAGCTTGCTGAGATCCGACCTAAACCAATCTGGCCAGAAAGCCAACTCTTAGGTCCTTCCCATAAACATCAGCAGCCTTCACTATCTGGGTTAGGTCAGTTCACATTCATCCTGACAAAGGAAACAGTGTGAGCAGAATCTGAGGAACCATGGTCTTGCACGCTTTGGCTGGAATATAGAGTAAGTGAGGAAGAAAAAGCTGTACAGGAGGCTGGAATTGGAATTACTAGAACTTGAAATGTTTTCTTTCCCTTAAAGTATAAATATCATCAGGTGGAACCCAGGATCCCAGGTACCTCACAGCACAGAAAAGTTTGTTTCCAGAATTCATAGGATCAAACAAGACTACTCAGAGGGATACATGTGCTGTTCTGTAAATCTGTGTAACAGGCTAGCAACCCACCTGTGCTCTACAGTGCTGTCACTTTTCAGGGTACAACAGTCAGGGCCAAGAGTGCCAAGACTTGTGTGCAGGATCATGTTCATCCTTGTCAAATCCAAAAGGACATCTAATCTACTCCAAAATTAGGGATAAAAATTGATAATATTTGAGTCACAGCCTTATTTCACTTGAATCATCCTTAAATCTTTGTCTACTTAATCTGCATTTGGTAAATCAGCATATGGCTAGAGGTAGATAAGGATAAGTGATGATGACAAAGTAAGACCCAATTTCTTAAAGGAGTCACTAAACAATCCCACTTACTCCACCTACAAATCCAATGACAAGGGGGGGTGGAATCCACAGAGATAAACATAGATAGTTCCAATCACCTAACTCAGTCTCTTGCATCTCCTTGGCCTTATGGCCTGTCTGTACTTCAAAAGCTGTACAAATAGAATTGATGTTACAAATTCTGAATAGGTCCAATGCACTGTACCTATATTACTACATTCAACAAGTAATATAGCCACTTAGAGATAATACAGAAGGGAAATGACTCACTTAAGGTCACTTAGCAAAGAGGGGAACCATTCAGTGGCCAACAATAGAGCACAAATTGCCCACTACTGGGGGGAGCGGGGGTGCTCACATCCATAGAGGAAGCAGGATCACCTTTCCTAAACTTTTAACATCAACTTCTGCTAGCTTCTAACAGGCAGGACTAACCATCTTTCCCTTCCAGGTAGCAGCTCTGTGAGTGCTTTTTGTAATAAGTGTCTGAACATTAATTCACATTCCTAACTCAAGAGTTAAACATCATATATAGATACATGACATATAATGGCACAGTCTTCTGTCCATTCTTTCCAGTGAAGTCCACCGCACTAGACATAGCCTGGTGAACTTTTGCGCATTTCCAAATGGATTACTACTTTTCTACCTCATTGATAATAAAGCTAATTTTACCAAAGTCAGCAGTTTGAAAAACAGTCCCACAAACGAGGTACAGTACTGGGCCAATCTAAGGCCATGAAAGTCATTTGATGGTTAAATTATTCACCATCAGCCATCGTAAATTCAGTTGTCTCAATCAAGAGTTTATAGTCTATATTAAAGACTGAATCCTATGAGGTAGTTTAGCTGGAGAAGCACTCTTTGTGGACCTGGCCTAAGGCAGAGATAGGAGCCACAACAGGGGTTACATTTTGAAGATTTAATTATTCTCCTATGACTAGTTTTATTTCTTAGTAAACTAAAAAAGTGCAAGGAAAAAAGGAGAAGGAATCAGAATCAAAGGAAGTAGAGGGATGAAGATTAAGAAATTGGTGATACCCAAGAAATCTGTTTCCTTTCTTTGATACAGCATACTCTGGAATATCAGATGAAAGTTATCCTGTTAACCATTAAGTACCAAACTGGTACAGGCAGAACAATCACAAATATTTGAGTAGCGAAGCTGACTCATAAAAAAATCTAAAAATATTTCATGCTTTAGGCTTTCAAAAATACCATCAGTTTAACTCCTTCCACTCTTTTAATCATGTTACATTAAAACCAATGTAAAAAATATTTTTAACCTAGTTCTGGAAACTGTAATTAAAATGCAATGAATACAGAAAGCCACATGCTATTAGACTTTAAGGCATTATCATTCCTACATCTGATCCTGGATTTAGCAAATCAGTTGTTAAGTACCTCTGCTATCTACTACACTAAAATAAATACATATATATTCATGAAAAGGGTTGCCTAAGAGTCAGTTGGTAGCCCTTTGAGGGAATATTAAAATCCACATATTGAAAAGCCCTTTTAAAACTGATCTAGATAACTACTTCGTTAAATTTTCTTTGTTAAATTTTCTAAGGATGCCAGTTTATAATGTCCTTGAAAAGGCTGAAATATCTTTTCAGGTCATAGATAAATACAATCATGTAAAATCAAAACTTTTTAAATTTATGAGCAGAGGAAGCCAATATATTTAGGCCAGACATTTTTTTACAACCATTCAAAGATACTAAATGGAGTACACTGTATTTATTCTAATTCTTTTGAAAATTAAGACATTTTAGTTATTTTTAAGTGAATGAAAATGAAAGGAACACTGAACAATCAATTTCAAAGTATTAAGTTATAACTTTTCGATATGAAGTATTCCTTCTGTTGTACTCGTAAGAACATGTGCTATACATGTAATTCCAATTACAATATTTTACCAAAATAACCCCCTACAAAATTTGCCGAATATCAAAGGCTTGACTACAAATGTTTGATAAGTTATACTGAAAAGGAAAAAATTTTATTAAATGAAAATCAAATAAAAACCCACAGGTGACAGTGTCCCTTAGAAAGCAACCACACATGTGAACGCGCACACGCACGCACGCACGCACGCACACACAAATCAGAAACTACCAGAGCGTTTTTTCCCCCTCTAGTTTTCAAGACTGCTGAAGAAATCTAGTGAATTATGCAAAGGACAGCAAATATTAAGCTGCCTCTGTATTTATGCTACTGTACTTCCATTTTTAAAACATACATCTTAACTCCCCAGATACCATCATCCACAGAAACCATGCAGCTATCCAACAGACTTTCAGTGTCACCATTTATTATTTATAGCATTAAATGGGGGAAGTGGCTCTGATGTCACCGACCCTACCCAGTGGAACCACTGACTCAATAAACATTTTCACACTGGAGAAAATCTGGCTAGGAAAACATTTTGCTGTGTTAAGTAGATTCTTTCACCTTTCCTCTCAACCTTGGGGTAGAAACTGTTACCGTGTTAGGAGAGATACAAAGAAACTGTCAAGGTTTCCACAGGAAGAAAACCTGGGCATGTCCATTTGCTGAGGCAGACTTCCCCCTCCCAACTCTACAGAGCCCAGTTTGATTTCCCTAATGTTCAAATTGGCAGGTACCAGCTGCCATATTTTATTTCTTCCACCAGATCATCCACCAAGTAGCAAATTCTTCGTTTCTAGTAGCCACTTTCTTGTGGTCCTGTTTCTAAAAACCATTCTGGCTCCAAGTCCTAAAGCGGAAGGGGGTTGGGGTGTTCGTGAGGCCAGGGAGTCTGGCCTGGCTACCAATGGTTTCTAACAGAAAAGTGATCGCTTCCCCAGGGGCCCAGGATCCACCCCCCCCTTTTTTTCTTTTTTTTTTTTTTTTTAAGAAGAAAGAATTGGCGGCAGTGATGAGGACAACCCCTCCCCCTCCTCCCCAGTTTCCCAAAGCAGCTCTGGAAAACGTGAAGTTACAGTTTCTCGTTCCTGGGAGATGGAATCCAGAGTACCTGGGGCCTTGCTTATGCAAACATCCCTCTTGGCCGAGTAGGAAACCCTTTGTCCGAGAAGCCGGACACCACAGGGGCCCAGGAAAGAGGCCCCTTATCGGTCACAGTCTCAAATCCGAGAGCTCCCCACCTCCACCCCTGTGGGGCCTATGCCGGCATCCATACGGCCCTCGGTTGAGGAGAGGGTGCTGAGACCCCTTCTAGGACGCGGAAGCCGAGGCCCTCCCTGATCGATATTCTCTGTACCTCCTCCCATCACCATCTCACTCCGTTTGAGTGGGACTTGCAAGAGCGATGCAGGCCTGGGCTGGAGAAATGGGGGGGGGGATTCCCTACTAATGGGGAAATGAGATGCTGGAGTGAATGTGAGCCAAGGCCATAGCATAAGCGAGCGAGGGTCGTTCGAGAGATGGGCCCGAAGACAGGAGGGAGGGAGGGAGGGAGGAAAAC